CATTATCATCAGCATCATCATCATCAATTATCATCATCATCATCATCATCATCATCATCATCATCATCATCATCATCATCATCATCATCATCATCATTATCCACTTCGGCCCCTTGCGATAAGATGTGAGTTTGTTTTCTTCAATCACGCCCTGGCAACGCACCAAACAACCTAATTGCACTTGAATCGAACCCAGGTCACACATGGTGAAGCCTAGTGGGGGTTTTTCCCATTAGGACTGACTACGAGTTCACAGAAAAGTTTACAGAAAAATTATACAGAAGACACCTTGATACACTCATATTCAAGTAAGATTTATTCTAATTTTTCCTGCCTGTTCAAAGCCAGACTGAATAATACTCAGCTATGAAACAATTTTGCAACAAAAATGCCCAATCTAAAAAAAGAAAAAAAAAGCCTGACCAGTTAGTACACAATCTACGTACACAGCTGGGAAAATCATTGAAAAGAAGCATGAAATATATGGGGTGTTTTGTGGCCAGGAGGCTAGGCATACACCGAACTGGTCAGAAAAGCATAATGCACTTAGAATACAGAAACATAGTTCGTCAATAATTTATTTAAATTTGTAGGCATCAAAGTACAAAATTAAAATAATAGGTTTGTTTTTATCAGACTAGCTCAAGAAAGACTTGATGTTAGTGTCCGATCTTGATCATAAACGTCAGTTTATATCTGGTATTTGACGACGAAGACGAGAACCACCGTCTCAGAGCCTGTTTTGCCTCGCCTCGATGCATGAATATTGTACCTACTCAGCTGATGGTCAGATTCAGCACATATGGATGCAAAAAAAATGTTATTGCATGAGTTATGGTGGAAGGCCATGACGTATCTTTCGAGGGAAGTTGCCAAGTTAGAGCGACACGTTTCAAAGAGTTATTACAACTGACAATTTCACAAATGGGATAATTATGATCTTCCACCATAACTCCTGCAATGCATTCTTCATATGCTGATTTTAGTCATTTTTAAAAAAAAGGACTTTTCAAACACCAACAGACACACAGTAACAAACACCAACAAAACTTCCACAAAAACTTTAGTTTTCCACAGCGGTGATCTTGAAGACCCACATCCACTGACAAGGCATTTTGCTCACAGCGATTGGAGGAACGGAGATGTCCAGCCCTCTAGGACTACGAGCATGGAAGTTGAACAAGGCCGGATACCCCAGAAGAGATACTTTGGTAGCAGAAGATACTTGAGGTAAATCAAGGCTGAGAGTCCCCGTGTCTGGCCAGTAGAAGACAAAGGCGTACACGGACGTGCCACTGGCCTCGGTTTTCTTTGTGTACCTAAAGACAGGAGGCAGAAAGCACCAAGAATGACATTTGTATCAGGTGATTTTCATTCAAGGTTCAGGTCACATGGGCAAGCATTCCCCCAGCTGGTGCAAAATCTACTTTAATAGAACTGTTGTTCAGGGACTTAATTTTATATCAGTTGATGACTTCTTTCATTTTGTCACAAAGAGACAGTTGATCTAAGTCGAAGTCCTGAGAAGAAACTGTCTTGAAGTTCTTAGGAGAAGCTATTTTAGTCACTGTTACATGGAGCATTTCTCGAAACTCTACAGGCACAGTCAACTCCGCTAACTTGTCACGACGCGGTGGAATCAGACGCTCGTCAATTTTGAGCGTTAAGAGTTAATGGTATCATATTTAGTCTTCTTTACTTATCTTGCTTTTGATTTTTTAAAATCCATCTTTCTTGATCGAGATATTTGCTACTGAAGGAGGTATGGGTTACCTGGTGTCAGAGGTAAATTTAGTGCGAAAGTGGTTGCCAAAGTTTGGTAATTTTCAAAACTGGAGTGTCCTTAAAAACTTCAAATGTACATTTTTGTGCCTTTGGTCAACGATTTTCAATAAAACCCATACAGAAACGTATCTTTAAATGGGCATAAAAGGAGTTGAGCCCAATAAAGATAATGGGAGAAAAAATTCCCCTACGACAAGTAAAATGCCGATTTGTTTGATTTCACTTTTTTGACGAGCGCCTGATTTCTCCGTGAAGACTCGAAAATATTAACGATATAAAGATATTAGTAACACTGAAGAAACTGGAATTTTTTTAGAATACAAAACTGTAAAGAAGAATCAAACTATCTTGCTAGCCAGCGGCCGCCACCTTCTTCATTTGCAAATATCTCGACTTTTTTTCACCATAAATGGACATTTTTCCTCCAAAAGCAAGGCAAATGAACAGACTTTAAGATGACACCAATAACTCTATATATCCGAAATTTGACAAGCACCTGATTCCACCACGTCGTGACACATAATATTATACCATTTTACATCATTTCACATATTTCAGTGTGAATAACATTTTTTAAAATACACTCAAGTTGCAAGGAAACAGCAAGCCGTCAAAAATTGGTTACGTTCTTTGACACTAAGCAAAAGTAAAAGGTTTGGGCATGTTTCAAACCACGCTTAGAGGAAGTATTCTAGTAAAAACACAACACTGTAACTTTTAGTATGGCCAATCAAACGTGTTATATCCTGTGCCACACCGGCTGGCTAACAATCACAACCAACCACAAAAAGAAAACTGGACTGAGAAAGAAAAATGGCATGGCTTTTATGCCCTTATCAAAACTAATAGGTTATTTAGAAGATGAACTTCAAAATGATTTGTACCAAACCGGCATAGATGCCACTGAAAAGAAGCAAAAACTGAGAAGCACATTCTGTTTTATTACATAAGAGTGCATAAGACTATGAGCTTTGGGTCGACAGCAAGAGTTTAATACTAATGCATGGATCTATCGCACGTTTTACTGGCATCCAGTTTCTACTACTGAGGCAGACTTTGAGCAAAATTTCGGGGG